ATATATATATATATATATATAAATGAAACTAGAAATGGAAAATTATTGATGATAACATGTGTAATTAAGCCACTACACAGTATATTCTGGATGGGAAATCACATTTTGTACACTGTGATGATGCTTAGGTGCTTAGGGAATTAATGTAAATTAATTAATTTTTAAAAAGTTTCAAAAACAAAAAAGCTTATGGATTTACATAAAATGGAAAACTATGTATGAATTTCAAAAAGTTTTTGTACCAAAATAAATTCATACTTTAATTGTAAAAAAATATATAATAATCTCAGTGTATAGATGACAATTTGTCCAGAGGTTGCAAAGTCAGTAAGTGGCAGAGCTGAGAGTCACACATGCATTTCTCAGACTCCCAAGACCTGTGCAAAATGCCAGAATACTTATTTCACAGTAAGTCCCCTGAAGATAGCAAAACAGGGAAATGAGGGGTTGAATTCCTAGGAAGGATACTTTCTTTTTTGAATATATTTTAAAGCATTTAGATATCACCCCCTTTTGAAAAAATTAATAATATGCCAATTTAAAAAAGCTGAGTAAAAAAAACAACAACAAAACAACAACAACAAGAGAACCAGCAGTTAGCGTAATGGCTATGTCGCTGGACTCCCACGTAGTCGACCGTGGTTCGCGTCCCGGACCCAGTGGTTTAAAACTCACACCAGGCGCGTGTGCGTGCATGCTCAAGATCCCGAGAGGAGAAGGGATTGCGGTGTGACCATCCCCCCTGGGGGGTGATTTCTCACTTTCTGTCTCTATGTCTCTCTCTGTCTGTCTGGCGAGCGCACGCACCCTATAGTGAAAATCCCCCCCCCAAAATAACAACAACCCCCCCCCCCAAAACCCCAGGAAACAAAGACAACATCCTGGAGGATCTGAGACTGTTCACTTAGTATAAAAATATAAGATTATTTATTTTACAAATCATTTGGTTTTACTGACTCACTAATAATACTGTTGATGGATTTGTGATATGGATGTGTTCAATGGCTAGACCTCTATCTTGGGACTGGGGGAAGTTTGCTTCCAGAGGATTTCAGGTATCACATATTTGCCAGATATCAAATTACCTTAGTTTTTTTCTACATATACTGTACAGCAGAAACAAAATATTTTGCCGTGTTGGGTAGTACAAGCAATCTTGATAGTCATACAGATTTGATAATTTTGAGTTTCTAGAAAATATAATCCTTAGTTGCTTCCTTTAAATTTTTTTTTTTGGGGGGGGAGAGATTTTTGCTGTAGGGCACGTGCGTTCGCCAGACAGACAGAAAGCGAGAAATCACCCCCCCCCCATGGGGGATGGCCACGCCACAATCCCTTCTCCTCCATTCTCCTTGAGCACACACGCACTTGCGCACAGTGTGAGTTTAAGCCACCGGGTCCGGGACTTGAACCGTGGTCAACTATGTGGGAGTCCAGCAACATAGCCATTACGCTAACTGCTGGTCCCTTCCTTTAAATTTAATTAGCAGCATTTTTGACCTTTCAGCTCATATGTTTGTTTTCCATTGGCATTTTATAAATTGTATAAATGATGTTAAGAAATACAAAATAGAGCTTTTATGACAAATAAGTCACTCTTTATCTTCTCCAAATTCACAGTTAAGTCTCAAATTTGCAAATTATGTTTTAATAGTAAATGCAGATGAATGAATATTGCTGTTTTTATTATTGTCAGTAAGAGTATTTTTGAACACCATTATGAAATCCTTATAATTGCAAGTTGAGATACCATAATTTCAATAAGCAATAAATATACTTCAGCTAAACTTTACCCCGAGCTAGATTATAATTTGCTTAATCATTTCTATTCAGGTTGTTTCCAATTTTTTACTTTTAATGATATTGTAGCAAGCATACCCTATAACAGTCTATCCTTTGGTATTCTTACTTATTTTTAATTGAATTATAAACATTATTTCATGTTTTTAGAGCAAGAGTTAGAAAACCTTTTCTATAAAGGGCCAGGTACTAAATATTTTAGGCTTTATAAGTCCTAAGATCTCTGTCTCAATTAGTAGTTCTGCTGTTATAGAATAAGTGACATAGACAATATATAAATGGATGAGCATGACTGTATTTCATCAAAACTTTATTTATAAAAACAAGTGTCCAACCTATAGGGTAAGGCTTGCTGACTCCTGTCTTAGAGGAAAAAAGAATCCTGTTAGAATTTTTATTTATGGTGCATTTATAAACTACTCCTTTGGGAGAAAATGTGTCATTGAATACACTTAATCTTTTTGTTTGGGGTGAGGTGGAAGTTTTTCAACTAGGGTCCACAGTCATAGTCCTATAAATTCTTGGGTTCTAAAATAAATTTTCCTCCTTTTATATTTTCATGTTAGGAATAATCTAACTATATTTAGAAGAGTAAATTCTGCATCATTTGGATATACATGTTAAAATCAAGTACTGCAAAGAGGTCTTGGTACACATATTTGCTTTTATAGAGTTTTGTATTTAAATCTTAATTGCATAGCTGTGTGACTTTGGACAAGCTTCTCAACCTCTCTGACACTTTATCTCCTGCAAAATGTTTATCACAATTTATAGAGCTTTGTATTTAAATCTTAATTGCATAGCTTTCTAGCTGTGTGACTTTGGACAAGCTTCTCAACCTCTCTGACACTTTATCTCCTGCAAAATGTTTATCACAATAATACCTACCTGTTGAGTTAGTTGTTACACACAATTATTCTAAGGTGTTATTACACAATTATTTTTACTTTTTAATCCTCCCTTTCTGTTCTCTAGAAGCACAGCTTTAGTCAAGGCTAACACTTCAGAAAACCCTTGTGTTTTTGGTCTCTGTTTCTGCATGATTTAAACATGTTAAATAATGGCACTGACCTGTGCGCATGCAAGCCACATTTATGAGCCACCACTCAGGGACTCGGGGCAGAATCACAGCCACTCGGTCTCCTCTCTGCAGTCCACAGGGCTTGGTGAGCACATTGGCAGCTTTTCGGGACAAAGACCCCAGTTCTCCAAAGCTCCATTTCACCTCATCCCCTTTCCCATTCACCCACCACAGGGCTGGGTTGGCAGGTCTCTCCCCTGTCTGGCAATGGACACAGGGGAAAAGAGGACAAAGCTTAGATGACTGGTTACTAGGTAAATAGGACATCTGCTGCTTTTCATCTTCAGCACCTGTTCCTGTGCATTCTGGCAATAGCACTCCAGTTTGTGTTTGGGGGAATTGCGCCTTTCTTATTGAACACAGTCATGTTGAGGCAACCCATCGGGGTGCTTGCTCTTTCCTAATAAGTGGATAGGCATGTGAGAAAAGCTGCCCAATCAGATATCCTCTTTGGGCTTTGAGTTTTCTGAGAGGAATCGAAATATAGAAAATGGCTGAGCAAAACCTGTCTAAGGGCTTTTAGTGCTTATGCATCCCCCGGAGCCGTCATGGTTGTTGTCCTTACTGAGGCTGACTCTCCACCTTTCAACCCAATTTTGTGAACTTTCCCATATTCCTCTAATAAATTTCTTTTTTGCTTAAGTTAGATTCTGTTTCATCCAAATAACCTTAATGGATGCATGAGAGGTATCTTAGTCCATTATTGCATTGCTAACAGAAATAACCAAGACTGAGATTCATAAGAATAGAGATTTATTTAGCTCATAGTTTGGAGTTCCAGGGTACAGGGACCAATTTTTGCTGAGGCTATAACATGGCAGATGACAGATGACAGACTCTTGAGTAGACTATGGTCTGTATTCATAAGTTTCTGCCAGTTCCGGTTTGCTTCCTTCCCTTATAAACCTTTCAAAAGTCAATCATGGGGCCCATCCTTAAAACTTTATCAAACCCAAAGGCCCCACCCTGGGACACCATAAGGGGATTAAGTTTTCACTTAACACCTTTACAATACAACCAAGTCCCAACACGTGACTCTTTGGGGGACATCTGAACTACAGTTAAGGAGGTCTTTAAAAAGTTCCTAGAAAATGCATAGTATGAAAAATATATGCATGGATTTTAGAATGTTTCTTGCCCCCAAATAAACTACTTTAATTACATATTTTCCATTAACTTTTTGAAATCCTTACAAACTGAGTTTGATTCAGAACTTGACATCTATTTATACTCAAAGGTCAAGATGTGCATTTCACAGGTCACAGGGAGCAGGATACAAGTAGGAATCGATTTGATTAATTTCTGTAATAAACTTGTCACTCATAGATCTGCCAAAGCAAGTCATCTGTACCACAAAACTTTCTTCCTCATGTCTTAACTGGAAAAAAAATATTCTCCTTTCTTCTCTTTATCTAGAATGCTCCTTTTACCTTTCCCAGTTGGAAAATACTTCAAATCCCAGTTTACATTTCAGTTTGTCTGAGCCTTTCTTAGCCATGGTTTCTGAAGCATCATGCTCATAGTCCAGGCGATCCCACTATATCATACTCTATTACAGGTGCATCCCCAGCCCTATGGATGCAAGCTGTGTAAGACCAGGGACTTAGTTCATGTCTTTCTGGAACTGTACGACATTGGATAAGTAGCTTAACTTCTACGAGATTAAGTTTCTTATCTGAAAACACCCCCAGGGTGTTGGGGAATTTGATGAAATAATATAGGTTAGTATTTCTCAATCTTTAGTCATTTGAGTATCACTGTTCTTTCCAGATCTGTTATTGTACTTTGTATTTTTCTTTATGTTGATTTACTTTTACTTGTATATATTTACTTACATCGCTGAAAAATAAATATGCTGAAAACAAAACCATGCTCTTAAATTGTATCTAAATATTATCAACTTCTACCTGCTCTCTCTGTTCAAAAGAGTGTTTAACAAGTGTTAGCTGTTAAAGACATAATGCCTTTCAAGAAAAAATATTCCCTCTTTATTTAAATAATTTAATTATTAAGGTATTGATGTAGCATCATTTAATATCTTATATACCTAGTACCTAACATCATCTTCTGAACCATGAGTCCTGTAGTGCATTTTGATAAACATAGAGAGGTAAAATGTTTAGCTCAATGCTTGGCATAGAGTGGAGGTCAATAAGCAGGGGTCTTATCCTGATGCTGCATAGCAAGAATTCTGAAATCTTGTGCAGGATTACAACATCAAGTGCTGTTGTATGGAACTTGAAAGAAAAAAAAGAAAAGATCTTAATTGTGAGTAACCGGAATAGGGACTTTGTGTGTGTGTGTGTGTGTGTGTGTGTTGGGAAGCTCCAGAGAAACACAGCCATAAGTGGTTGAGAATCTAAGATCTTCCCTGGGGAGAGAGGAAGGCAATCAGAAAACAAACAGAAACCAAAAAGGTTGAAAGAACTGAATTGAAATTGACAAACACACCACAGAACCAGGAGATGTGACTGAGAGCTAAGTGGGCCCCAAATGTCTAATAGAAACCCATCATTTTGTACCTTCTCTTTCTGAGACCATTGGTCCAGCACGTCCCCAGCAAAATTAAAGTTCTTAGGCAAAAACTTTTCACAGCGATTTATGGCTTCCAAGTCAGCAAGAGTCAGAGGTGCCCCAAGCTGGTGATTTCTGTGAAAGTGCCGGCCAGATGGTTTGGCGAGCCAGATGAATCTAAACGTCTGGTAGCGGAAAAAAATCTTCATGGCTTTTGAGGGACTTTGTCTATTGATATGGAAGTACCACAGCCTGTGGGGAGAGATGGGTGGAGAGTTTGTTTTTCTCAACACTGTGGTGAGACTAGGAAGTATATTATGGCAGTGTGCCTTGGCAAGAACATCGAAAGAGCACTCGATTCTTCTGCAGAGGTTTTGCTGTTACTCACTAACCAATCTCTCTGCTACTGGACTCTCCCTCTGCATTCTGTGACCAGATAAGTCTGAAAAAACTCAATATCTATAAAATTGTCAAGCTTTCATCTTTGTACCTACCTTCTCCACAACCAAACAATGGAGTATTTGCTGCCTGGATTAGTGTTCAAGGCCTCCTTCAATTTGCCTCATATTCTGTTCTAATCATATCTGCTAACTCCTTTATTTGACTTTCCTCTCCTGGTAAAAGAAGCCCATTCACTTTTCATGAGTGTTCATTTCTGCCACTAAGATTCAGTCAGTCATCCTCCTTGATCTGGGGACCCTGTCTTCTCGCCCCTCCAACTCTCCATTATAATTGTTAGGAACCTGGGTAGCTGGCTATAGAACTTTGGAAAAAGTTGTCTTCCTGCATCTTACATTTCAGATCTGTAATGATGGAAAAATATAACACCTCCCTCTTGGGTTACTGTGAGAATTTAATAAGATAATGCCTGCAAAGTGCCTAGCTTGTAAAAAGTGCCTTTGAAATGTTAACTACTGCTATAAGATTAGTTTCATTAGTACTATTGTGGCATGGCTGCATGAAAGTCTTACAGTATGAATTGAGAGACTTGGATTTTTACTCCTAACTCATTTAAAACTAGCTTTGTGACATCGATAAAGTCACCTTTCTGGACTGCCACCGGTAATCTTACTTTTTGTTTTTCTAATTCTGTGATTACTTCTTACTTTGAATTTACATAACATGCATCTGTGCTATCCATATAAAAATTGTCTACCTTATATTATTAATTATAATGATAATATTTAGGCCTCATCTTCCTAAACCTACCCAGAAGGTGTGAGTAGAGACTGTGTTACATCCATAACACTAAACATGACTCATAGAGGCTCTTCAAAAATAAAAAGCCATGTTTATTAAGTTCTTTCTGTAGGCCAAGCATTTTACATTCCTGACACCAATCAGTATTTATGAAAAGCTTGGGAGGCTAGTGCTACTCTTATCTCCATTTCACGGGTGAAGAGTCTGAAGCTCATGTGGATGTAAGGAACCTGCCCAAGGTCATCAAGCTCACGTTGGCACAGGCAAGGTTTGAACCTAGATTGTCTGACTTTGGACTCAGTCTTTCTGCTGTTAATTTTTTATGCTGCCTTCTTCCGTTAAGATTTCTTCTTGATAGTGAACAACGTTACCCTTTTGCCCTTCAGCCCTATGTAATTGGTTTCCATGGAGTGGACAATCTGCAGGTGCAGAGTGCCTGAGTCTGCAGAACAGTAATAACAAACAAAAGAACAAAGCATGCAGGCTATATCAGCCCCTTGTAATTGTTTCCAAGCCCTCATTGCTGCTCAGAATGATGTCTGGACAAGCGAGAGGTTCATTTGGAGCAAATTCAATTTACTGTAGCCCAGGAAGAGCTATTTCTGGGGATATTGTCAGTATTAAACTATGTGTTATGTCAAGGTACAAAGAAGGATATAATGCCTTACTTGGTAGTTTTCTGGAAGTGTGATGGAAGTATCAAGAACAAAGAGGGGCAAAGAAGGGGCAGAGTGGACCATGCTCATGACATAGCACTCTGCCAAAAGCAGGACCCTCGTTCCTCTCCTAAACACAGACACACACTGTTGCATCCACACTTATTTCTCTGGATGACCTTTGACAAGTTACTCACCCTCTCTAGTCTCATTTTCATCTGTACAATGAGAATAATAACATTGCCTTCCTCACTGATAATTGTGAGGGAGGTTTAAGTGATTACCTTAGCACAGTACTGGTATATAGCTAGTGTTTAATAAATGCCACTTATTACAAATTGAATCTCAAACTTATTTATGGTAGAAACCTTTTGCTGATAGACATAAAAAAATAAAAAGAAAAGCTATAGGATTAGAGCCACTAACATGTATCTTATTTCTGCCTCTTTTAATGCCCTCTCACTATGCTCTAAGTGCTTGGGGCTGACCTAAGCCCTCTTAGCCTGAAGCGTGCTAGCCTCCACTTCCATCATTTTGATCTTTCTTGGTTTCAGTTTAATGATGACCTGGAAAGGCTTCCAAGATAGGGGCGCTGGGGATATTCTTGCTTCCTAGGGAGGACAGTGCAGAGAATACAACCGGGAGTTTTTAAATGCAGATCTCCTCTGCTTCTCTTCCTTTAAACCGAGAGATGATTTTTCATGAATTGCTCTTATTTTCCGTACTTCGTTGGACATATCGTCATAAATCACCAGCTTAATTTATCAACAAGTCTCAAACTAAATATCATAAACAGGTCTGCTCTAAATATACATTTCAGGATTCCATGTGTTAATTACATAAACAGAGTGATAGGGTCTTGCAAACACAAACATAATCATTAGTAATAAAATACTAATCAAGATTTTGCCCATTAAGATTTTTTTCAGTTAAATTTATTTTTTTCCCAATAATGTTCCTTCTTTTATTGCTCTTTGATCTGCCTTGGATTTTCAGAATAGATTTGGTATGGATAGACCTTTAAGGAGACCATAACACTGTATTGCTGCCATTTTGCATTCAACAGAATCACTTCCTGATTTGGAATCTTGGCGTTCAGTAGAAAGTTTATATAATTCTAGGGTCAAATTCGAGAGTCACTAATGGTTTAGCTTAAAACATTACTGTTGTAGAAATTGTTATATGAATGTGTTTAGTAAAATATCTCCAGAAAATATCTGTAACAATGAGAGAGTTGAACTTCTACATGATTTCTAAAATTTCAGTGATTTCCAGAGTATTAAGGCAAAACTTAATGGTGGAAAAAAATCTATAAAGCAATTGATGTGTGCTCATGTTAACTATAATACTTCCATGTAATATCTTGTTTAATTTTCTCACTTGCCCCTCTGGAGGCAGGTATTTTATTTTATATACACACACTTTATTATTTTACACATAGTATAATAGGCACTGACCAAAATCCATTTATTAATATTTAACAAGACAGAAATTCCATCCCTCATTGTTGTCACCAAAGCAGATGCAAGGAAATGCTACCATAGATTTTTGCTACATTTCTACTGACCTTTGTAAAGTAGACCATTCCGTTTTGCTTTCAAAAAGACAGTCTAGGGTTAGGTCTGCACTTACCCAATTTTAGCAAGACAATATGCCTCTTCTCTTACTGTTATGATACAGATTTAAAAACACTTTTTCAACTTCTCATTTAGTAGAGTCGTTTCCATGTTACTACAGGCTTTTTTTTCCTTACCAGTAAATGGTATTATTGTTCCAGAAAGGCCTTTAGCTCGCTTACGAAGATTCAACTCTGTATCTGCCAGAAAATAGATTCTTTCTGTCTTCTTCTTCTTTTTATTTTGGTGGCATCTAAGTCAGCGTAGTCTTGGGAGTCTCTGGTATACAGTTGGAAGGATCATAATCCCCTGGGTGGAGAGGTTTTGTTTCTGTGGACAACCTGTGGTTAAAGGGACAGCAACTTATAAGACACAGCTGGGAGGGGAGAAAGGAAATACAACAACCTCCTCTCATGGTTCAGTGCCAAACAATGGCCAAGCCCCAGAATATTACTGGATTATTCTTTTTAATGAAACTGAAGATATAGAGAGCCATACTACTCAAATGTCTTATTATCAGGGCCTTTCAACATGATCATTGAGTAGCATGCTTGACAATATTGTGACATAACTGGATTTGGTTTGGAAAATCTGCCAAAATAGTACAGTCAAAGAAATCATGCCTGGACCCTCAACTCATTGATTAGAGAAGACTATGAGAATTCCACTGAACTCCTGACCACCTACTATATGCTGGCTACTGCTAGATGTCTCTTGTGATGTCATTTTTTTTGCAGGTTGTCTTCAGAAAATTCCACTGACTGGCTTGAACATAAACTTTGCCTGTCTGTACCCTTGTAAATGTCAGTTACTGGGAAAAGGTGTTGGGCTTCATTGTTTCTTTTTTTTTTTTAACCTATGTTGCTTTTTAGTAGCAATGATGGTGACAGAGGTCAGACAGTGGCACTTTTTTTCACCTTAAGAGTTCACTGGTGGGACCAGCAGGTGGCATGGTGATTAAGGCACTGGACATTCCCACATGGCTGACCACGGTTCGAGTCCTGGACCTGGAGGCTTACTTTCTCACTTTCCCTCTTTCTCTCGCTCTCTGTGTATCTCTCTGGTCAAATTAAAATAAAATAGATGAATGAATAAAAGTAAATAAATAATTCTTTTTTTAAAAAAAGAGAGTTCACTGGTACCCCACATAATATACAGAAGAGAGTATCTCACATGGGTAGGCTCAGACATGCAGAAAGCTTCTTGGTCTTTTATTAAATGGAGTCCAAGGCTAAGGCTAGGCTAGTGTAGATTGAATAAAGGTTCTCCTTTCCAGAGATATCCATGTGCTATTCTCCAGAACCTGTAAAGGTTGGTGGGCAGATTATCCTGATTATCTCTGTGGGCACAAAGCAAGGGTCCCATTCATGCCATAGGCGCCTATGTATACACAGTCGTAGTTACGATTATAAATGCATACAAATTTGTACATCTACATTTATAAAACAAGGGTCTATCAAATTAGGGAGCTCCTGTGTGTTGGTAATAGCAAGGAAGATGGCACAGTCACTAAGAAACTTCTATTCACTGAATTCCTAGCATTCAATGACAGGAACACAACAAGGTGCATCATCATTTCTGTCTGTGGGTGGACAGGGGTGATTTCAGTTCAGCTCAGAAGGTGGGGAGAGTAAATGGCAAGGTAAAAGCCATGCAGGGATTCAGATGGTTGGGCATCTATTGGTTTCAATGGAAATCATGTTTCCATATAGGGAAAATACACGGATTTTCCATATA